AAAAAAAAAAAAAAAAACAAAAACCATCTTTGATGCCTAGCAAATATAGATCCTGTCAAATTTCATACAACATTGATACAAACAAAAAATACTACAGTACGGGTTGCCCTAGTTACATTTTCAAGGTAAATAACTGCATAATGATTCCCCTAATAAAAAAAAGACAGAAGGGAAAAATTACAGCTAACTACTCATTTTACCAAGCCCTGAAGAATTTATTGTCRTTCCATTAAACACAAAACCTTTCTGCTTTGAGTGGAGTTTGGATGAACAGATGGCATTTCACTAATTGTTTATGTTTAACGTGGATTTTCATTCACTGTTCTGATGCTTCTCTGTCCCTCATGATGTACTTCCTTTTAATGTATTTGCATTTCTTGTGTTACCGTTGTCATTACTAACCATGCTAATGGTTGGGACACTGAAGTTGATATTTAAATAAGGTTTCAGGCAAACCATCTGTGTACACTCGAGAACTTGGRCTCCCCTAAGTTTCCATGGTATTTTGGAAAGGCAGCTGGAATTTACTTCAGGAAAACAGAAGAAAAAGAAATTTAAGGTAATTTCTGTGTAYTGAATTTTCTCAATGGACAGTCCACCCAAGGGGTAAAAACAGAAAGGGAAAGAATATAAATGGGCAAAATGGCAGCTTTGATTTCAGTCTGATTGTGTTCCACTCTTGTTTCATGGAATCAWAGGATCGTAGGATTATCAAGTTTGGAAGATCAAGTCCAACTGTCAGCCCAGCAGCACCACTGTAACCCCTGAATCACTAAACCACATCACCCAGAGCAAGGTACAGATGCCTCTTAAACACCTCCAGAGATGGTGACTCTACCACCTCCCTGGGGATCAAAACAGTGAAAGATTTTCCTAGTATCTAATCTGAATCTCCCCTATCTCAGTTTAAAACCATTTCCTCTTGTCCTCTCACTGCAGGCACATTAGAAGAGACCAGCCCCCACCTCACCACATCCTCCTTTCAGCCAGTTGTAGAGAGCGATGAGGTCCCCCGCAGGCATCCTCTTCTCAAGACTAAAGAACCCGGATCCCACAGCCACTCCTCATGAGTCTTGTTTTGTAGACCTTTCCTTCATCTACTAAGTGGGCCACTTTTTCATAGAAGGAGATCAGGTTGGTCAAGSAGGAYCTGCTTTTTGTAAATCCATGCTGGCTGGGCTTGACTGCCTGGTTGTCCTGCCTGTGCTGTGTGATGGCACTCAGGATGATCTCTTCCATCATCTTGCCCAGAACAGAGGTCAGGCTGACACGTCTGTAGTTCCCCTGATCATCCTTCCAACTCTTCTTGTAGATGACAATACATTTGCTAATTTCYAGAAAACTGCCACTTACCCAGTTAACCAGGACTGTTGGTTGGGGTTTGGCAAGTTCTTTTGCTAGTTCCCTCATTACTCTGGGATGGATCCCATTATCCCATAGACTTTCAGCCTGAATGCATGTGCCAGCTTCCCTTCTATGCATGGCAGTGATGTTCAGTACCTTCTGGGGTACTCCGCTCACTCAGTGCATAACTCCAGCAGCAGAGACTTTTCTGTCATACCCTTTTA